AACAGGCCTAAATCTAATTGTTACTCAGAACTCAAGTAGGCCAACCATATCAGTAGAACTAACTTAAGGGCTGACTTAGCAAGTTCTATGGGTCTATTCTAATTTGGAGTAACATTTGTACCAGGATATACAAATCCATCACTTCAGATGTTCTACCAGAAGAACAAGCTTCTCGTGTTCTCTTTGGCTTTAATTCTGTCACCTGGCATCAATCACAAGATGGATAAAACTTTTGCCAGTTCAAGACTTTTTCCCTTGATGTTCTGAACCAATAATGGGGTGGGGACAATCCAGTGAGGATCCAGTGTCACTGGATAAAATCCTGTCCCAATCCAAGGTACAGGAAGCAGCAGGTGTGTCTCTGTTTCCTTTTCTCCCTCTTGCCAAGCAGATACTTAACCATAACAGGGAAAGACTCTGGCATAACACAAAACAGCCAGCTGCATTTCCACTTAACGTACCCGTTAAGACAGGTCGATTACTCTAAGATAGGATTTAATTTCCCAAGGATTTGAACTTAGTGAAGAGAGTTATGGCAAAAACCATACCTTTGATCAGGGCAGAAAATGGTTCCATACAAAGCCCTACAAAGAATTCTTATTTCTTTTAAATCCTAGATGGTAGACACTTGACTTGATATGAAGACAACCGATTTCAAGCAAATGTCTGCATTTTTACCAAGTTAATAACTCCATTTTCTTTTTCTTCTACAAAACTGTTCTGACAGATATTTTATACAGTTAAGCTTTGTTAAAAGTAAGGGTTATAAACCAATGCAAATATTCTTTTTTAAAAAGTCAGGGCATTATCCAAAGTAATTTTTTTTCCTTGAGAAAAGTACAATTTTGCTTTTACAGGTTCTTTCAAGTTCTATAAACACAGCTTTCTCAGTCAATTGCCCTGGTCCAGCAAATCACATAATTCACTCCATTTCAGAGGTCCCTCGTTTTCTTTGGCAATGCTTCAAGTCACAAGAGATCTATATGTAAGCTACTTTTACAGTAATTCATTTTTTCCCCTATAGGCAGGACAGCAAATAGGCCGACACTCTATGAAATTGCTTATGATTGTGAAGAAATAGAAGTCAATAATATCCATGGTTACATACCACTCAAGTATTTACACTTAATATAACACTTCCCTGCCTTTGCATACCAATAAGAAAGCATCTTCTGTGAAGACCTGGAGAGCCAGTTCTAGACTAGAAAATCTACTAGCACTTCCTTCAGGGTTTCTGGCAACGCTAGTTTGTGCCCATGCATTTCTCTTGCTCTCCTTTTGGGGGACAGCATCCTTGCATGTGATACACAAAACATTTTTTGGATGCCACAGTATTTCCACTATATTATTTCTCCATAAACAACAGGCATTGGGGACATGTGACTACAGTGATGCCTTGCTTGATGATGATAATCCATTCCGTTCAAATCGCTGTTAAGCGAAATCATCAAGCGAATAAAAAAAACCCATTGAAATGCATTGAAAACCGTTCAATGCATTCCAATGGGCGAAATACCTGCTCGTTTTGCGAAGATCCTCCATAGGGCGGCCATTTTCTGGTGCCTGTAATGCGAGGCATCTGTGCTAAAAACAGCGGAGAGCCATTTTGCACAGCGGGCGACCATTTTTAGAGGCGCCAATCAGCTGTTTTAGAATCGTCGTCTAGCAAAAAATCAGTTCCCGAAGCAGGGAACAGATCATCATCAAGCGAATTTCATCACTCAGGGTTGATTATCTTCAGAGTGGATAGGTTTGTTCTCCTTGCAGTCCAGGGAACTCTCAAGAGCCTCCTCCAGCACCACAATTCAAAAGCATCAATTCTTCAGCGGTCAGCCTTCTTTATGGTCCCGCTCTCACTTCCATACATTGCCACTGGAAAAACCATAACTTTGACTATTTATTTATTTATTTATTTAATTTATATGCCGCCCACTCTACCCAAAGGTCTCTGGGCGGCTTACAACAATTAAAATTCAATGGAATAAAATAAAATGATTAAAATACAATTAAAATACAATTAAAATACAATACTATGCGGACCTTTGTTGGCAAGGTGATGTCTCTGCTTTTTAAGATGCTGTCTTGTTGGGTTCAGGCAATGAGCAGGCTGATGG